ACACCACGGGTCTCTTCGTAGATGAGACCAGAGATACGCTTCACACCACCACGACGAGCAAGACGACGGATAGCTGGTTTGGTGATACCCTGGATGTTATCACGCAACACCTTACGATGACGCTTAGCGCCTCCTTTTCCAAGTCCTTTTCCTCCTTTACCACGTCCAGACATAATAATTCTTTTTAACTACTTGTTCGAAGGTAATTCGAAATGTGCTTCAAGTTTGCTGGCGTTGCATGACTTATTTAGTGTATGCGGACGTGGTATGATTACTAGCGTTTGTTTAAGTACGGACTTCGTAGGGGGAGTTTTGAAAGCAGTTTGTTGATTGCGAAAATTCAGCAAAATTTACTTGCCTTGGCTCTTTTTGAGAGGGAAAATTATTAATTGTCTTCACAAACTCTGAACTATTAAATGTAAAATGAATTGAACAATTAAAAATTTGCTTTACAAACCTTTCCTACATGTATGCTGTCAACATTGAAATTTGTTTATATCGTATATTCTTCGGTTGAAGTAAAAAACCAATACTATTAGTTACCAAACATTGTGTTTGATATATTAGAAAAATAGGCCTATCTGTACAGGTGAACCCAACAAATATTAAGGTTTAGCACCATGCGTGTCTTGATATTTCTTTGTTCCTTCCTGTCCCTTCTATTAAATGCATTATTAAATTTGTTTTTAACACTTGTCTTAAAATATGAAAGTTGCTAAAGTTTGAAAATGTTAACTTCATAAATGTGAAAAAAAAAACAAATGAAATATATATAGCTTTTATGAATGTATATATGATTAGTATTATAAAATGTAGTATGAAATCTATATAAGTCTTGATAGGGTGATAAACTAATAATTTTTTTTATGGGGCCTTACCATCATTTCGCTGAAACCCAGTTTCCAGATGTTCGTGTAGAGCAGAAGTGGGCATAAAAATTAGTCGGATGGCCAAAGTGAATTTCTTATTGAACACAGAGGGCCGAACAATAAATTTGATGTTTCCAGCGAGCTTCCAAAATCCTTCTAACACTGCTTTTACATCACCTTATTCTCAGTTTTAAGTTAATTCTCAGCTACCTTTTATATATGATTGGTGTCGGGCCGTAAAAAACAAGGTGTTGTATAGCTAATTATGATTGACGGACCGCAAACTTAGGATTTATTTTTAATTCATTGTCGCTGTTTATATTTGATGTTACTGTTACTTTAAAACGTATGTAATACAAAAAAACTTAAATACCATTAGGCAATCACAAAAAAAGGCAAGCAATCATTCTCTTTTGTTTAAATGGTGGCTCTGAAAAGAGCCGTTTGTTTTGAGGAAATATGAGTAGCTTATCCACCGAATCCGTACAGGGTTCGGCCTTGTCTCTTCAAGGCGTAGACGACATCCATGGCGGTGACGGTCTTTCTCTTGGCGTGCTCGGTGTATGTGACAGCATCACGGATGACATTTTCAAGAAATACTTTCAACACACCACGGGTCTCTTCGTAGATGAGACCAGAGATGCGCTTCACACCACCACGACGAGCAAGACGACGGATAGCTGGTTTGGTGATACCCTGGATGTTATCACGCAACACCTTACGATGACGCTTAGCGCCTCCTTTTCCAAGTCCTTTTCCTCCTTTACCGCGTCCAGACATAATACAGTAATTGTTTCCAACTACTTGTTCGAAGGTAATTCGAAATGTGCTTGAAGTTTGCTGGCGTTGCATGACTTATTTAGTGTATGCGGACGTTGTATGATTACTAGCGTTTGTTTAAGTATGGACTTCGTAGGGGGAGTTTTGAAAGTAGTTTGTTGATTGCGAAAATTTATCAGCAAAATTTACTTGCCTTGGCTCTTTTTGAGAGGGAAAATTAGTAATTGTCTTCACAAACTCTGAACTATTAAATGTAAAATGAATTGAACAATTTAAAATTTGCTTTACAAACCTTTCCTACATGTATGCTGTCAACATTTAAATTTGTTTATATCATATATTCTTCGGTTGAAGTAAAAAACCAATACTATTAGTTACCAAACATTGTGTTTGATATACAGTATTAGAAAAATAGGCCTATCTGTACATGTGAACCCAACAAATATTAAGGTTTTGCACCATGCGTGTCTTGATATCTCTTCGTTCCTTCCTGTCCCTTCTATTAAATGCATTATTAAATTTGTTTTTAACACTTGTCTTAAAATATGAAAGTTGCTAAAGTTTGAAAATGTTAACTTCATAAATGTGAAAAAAAAAAACAAATGAAATATATATAGCTTTTATGAATGTATATATGATTAGTATTATAAAATGTAGTATGAAATCTATATAAGTCTGAAACCACATATCCATCCATACTCAACAATACTGTATACATTTTAAACATGACAAGAACATTATATTCAAAATTGTATAATTATTCATATTATTATTATTAATATAAACTTTTATTTTTTATGCTAGATAACCTGTTTAACGTTCCCCAGTATAAATAAAGAAATATATAAGTTATAAATATATACACGTTTAATTCTTTGTTATTTTATGGTAATAAATTATATCAAAACCATGGGTTTTAATAAAATTGATATAGTTGTTCGACAGATTGTCGTTGGCATGTTTTGATCATCATTTTAGGCCTAATTAAAAAATTATGTTTATATTTTGTAGAATTAAAAAAAAAATTGAAAATGTCTTTAGTAGTCTTATACAAAACCAAATATTAAAATTATTCATTTTGAAAATAATTTGAGTCTTTTTGCAAAACCAATTTCGAAAATAATCCCATCTCAAAAAGAAACCCATCTAAATGGTCCTTCCAAAAGAAGCACATGGTTTTTATTCAAGGATTTACGGTTTTTATTATATAGTAATAATATACAAATAATTATACAATTTTGAATATATGCTATTATAATGTTCTTAAAATGTATATACCGTATCTTTTGAGTTCAACTACATTTTATATTAGTAATATTATATACATCAAAACGCTGTATGCATTGTTTTTTAAACAATGTTTAGTCCTCTAATAAATATATGTAGTTTGTTGAGAAAACACTGTAGCAACGTTATGGAAACTCTAAACGTTAGGCTCGTGTTACAATGGCTTAATGAATAATCGGACTATCATACAAAGAAACACACACATGTACGCACTTTAACGGCCTTGTTTCAAATCTCTTTTGTGTATTTGGTGGCTCTGAAAAGAGCCGTTTGGTTTGAGAAGATACAGTAGTCTACTTGGTTTTGGCCTGGGTCTTCTTTGGCAGAAGTACAGCTTGAATGTTTGGCAGTACGCCTCCCTGTGCAATGGTCACACTTCCGAGAAGACGGTTCAACTCTTCATCGTTACGGATGGCAAGTTGAAGATGACGGGGGATGATTCTGCTCTTCTTGTTGTCACGGGCAGCGTTGCCAGCCAACTCCAAGATTTCAGCAGTCAAGTACTCAAGTACAGCAGCCATGTAGACTGGGGCACCAGCACCGACACGAGATGCATAGTTACCCTTTCGCAAGAATCGGTGGACACGACCGACTGGGAACTGAAGTCCAGCACGGCTTGATCGGCTCTTGGCCTTTCCCTTAGCTTTTCCACCTTTACCACGTCCAGACATTATTATTGTATTTCGTTCTTCGGTTATTTAAATCGAGAATGATACTTATCCAATGAATAGCCACGTTTATATAGCTTGCTCAAGTGTTGCGTTTGACTTATAGCGCTCATTGGATTAACCAATCACAGACAGTCCCGCTTGCCTGAGCTTCCTCGTGACCCAATCGTCTGCTATCAACCATTCTATTGTACTATTTGGCGCGATGGTAAAGGATGTACTCATTAATTTCAGGTACAGTATTACTGTATATTATATAATAAATATGCAGTAACGTTGTATTAATAAGTACAGTAATTAAAATAGTTAATCAAGTTAAGAATACACTGCCTGGTATAAAATACATAGAAATTTGCTAAAATTAAGCAAAAATGTAAAGGATTGATTACTTCTATTTTTTTTTCAGTTCGATACAAGCGGTATATTTTTTATAACTTTATATTCTTTCCTTTATCGATTCAGTGTTTTAATTTGATTCACGGTAATAGTATTTTTTATTTTATCACAGGATATGACTATCATATATCGTATTATATAAATATCAACCTAATTATAATGCCAAATAAAAGTAGTTAGTTTCACGTCCGGGATTTATACTTATTTTTTTAGTGAATTTGCTATTTACTATCATCCACCGTAAAACCTCGAGCAGAAGGCCTGTGCTTTTTTTTTTTTGCGAACTTTGGATGGTCTTCTTTTCGAAGCAACTTTTCCAAAGTAAAGAGGGGGATTCTTTCCATAATGAATGCAGTAAATTTTGGGAATTATCACTATAAAACAAAAGGGCCACTATAATTAGTGTGTATCATGGAGTGTATTAATTAGCATTCATCTAAAATACTCTATAAACCGAGCGTGTTTTAAAAATATTTTATTTCTTTGAAAAGAAGCACATGCTATCTTGGAATAGTTATGGGCTTCTTTTCGAGATTGGCTTCTATTCGAGGCTAATTTTGCAAACCAAATTTGAGATGGGTTTCTCGAGATTAAACCAAGTTGGCTTCTATTCAATGTGTCGGTGGTAAGCAGAGTGGTAAATAATAAAAAATGTTATTTCCATAAAACGAAAATCAAAAATTCAAACTTCTCATACCAGGCTATCACATAATCAAATTTACGATTATTTCGACAGTTGTGGGGTAATATGAAGGGTCTTCATTTTATACAACGAAACATAAAAAGACGTCTTAAAATGCAGATAAATATTATACCACTTCAACCCTAATTTAGTTATTTAGAAAACAGTTCAGTAGTGACAGACCTTTCAATATACTTTTAAAACCTATAAAACAATTATCAATATATTAAATTAATAAATACTGTATTGGACACTTATGCAGGACACTTCTATGTATGT